AAATACGCCCGCGCATGGACCAAGTAGTCGATGGCACAGTCAATGAATTCAAAACACTTTAATACATCTATTTAACTGCCAGTGCTAAATAAAACATCATCCAGTCTTTCGTGGGTAACTTCATGACGAAATAAAATCTAGAACAACAATCAAAGGGAAACGTTTTGTTAACCTTCAAAGATCACAGCTTAATCCACTCTTTGGCGTACGAAATGACTTTATCTCAAGTTTTCTCAGTAAAACTCGAAATAGTGTTTTGGTCTAAATGCACTAAACACTTCATTTTCTTTGTTCAAACTGATTCTGTCTTTTCCGTAAAGTCTGGGCCACACCGCCACGACTTGCCCAGACTCTACCCAACGCAACGTCTTGTCTCAGATATCAGTGCCGTGTGGACAGTCCAACGACAACGATTCATTCGATTTCCGTCGCGTCGTGGCCCGTCGGCCCGACTGAGTATGTTCAGTCGTAGTCGGATGCAGTTGGATGCAGTCGTAACCCATCGTGTTTGTGTGGACACTCACACGACATCTTGGCAAAATATAATGTCACTTTTATGCTTCCGGTTTACTTTTGGAATCACTCGCTAGAGGGAAGTGGCGTAACTCACGACGCATAATCTGTGAGATTCGGGCCTGTGTGGACTGGTACTGTCGTAGGCAAGTGAAGTAAAGACGCGACCCGATTTTTTTTTTACAACTACCCAAGACGCTGAGTCCTGTCGGTTTGTGTGTAGTCGTAGTGGTATGGGCCGGGCTTAAAGGACGCCATTCTGGAAATTGCAGCGATTTCATAGGTCTGCATGTAACGGCATATCCTAATGTTTACCAACAACGCAATATAGCTTCGATAACACGTGCGTTGTTTGGATTGGACGTATTAATACAAACTTATCCCGGCAGAATTGGCGCCTGTTACATGTACTTAATTTACGCCTCCGCGTACTATTTTATGTACCCATTTACACAAAATAGGAAACATTTTTATCCACATATCCCTCAAACACCTGTATATTTATTTTTTAAAAATAATTTAAGAAATTTGCGGAAGAAAAAAAAAGGTAATATTGAGTGCTAATTAACTCACCTCAATGTCATCCCTATCAGTGATATTATTGACCAAGCGAATATATACTGCGGATCAGTTTGAAAGTGTACTCGGTAGTTAGGAAGAGGCAGGTATAGGCAGGTATAGCCAGGCACACGGTGATTGCTGGTCCAGCAGATGCTCTCCTTATCAAATCGACCACTGTTAGGATTTAAAATTTCCCCCACAGAAAGTTGGACTCAACACGGCGAATATGCACGCTTCCATGGCTTGTCTCGAAGTGATTTCTGGCTAACCATGCAGTATGATAATGCTCAGCACTAGAGTCTATGAGACTATAAATAGCCATCGCACGTGCAATTCTCTACCCATCTATCAACTATTACAATCGTAAAAAATCTATTGTTGACGATTCTGAATAGCAGTAATATTTAGTTTTTTGGTTATTACAGCAGCTTTAGGAATTACCTTCGTTTTATTTTTTAAATTGCTTTATCACTAACTGTACTGTTAGGAGCAGCATCTTTTGGTTTAGTACAAATAATATCTCCGAAACACTTGCGTTAAGCAAGAACATGCTACTAGCAGTAGTTTCATTTTACTTTTAAAAAGTTCTTAAAACAATTGTTGAGTTACCTAACGTGCGTGTTTTTCAATTCAATTTCTTGTTCCAGCTTTCTGTTATGTTTCGTAAAAAAAAATAGTCTTGATTATCCTGGCCTGTCAATCAGACGTAAAATGGTCTGTAGACTGGTTAAGCGAGACTAATTTCAAAACAAGGGCATGTAACCCATTTTTTACTCACAAGTGCCCGGATGTTATGGCCGACACTCGTAACCATCTTTCACACACTGATCCGCAGTGAATATTTGCTAGGCCGCTACAATCACTGATAAGGATGACATCGATGCGGCTTAATGAGCCAGAAATATTAACTTTTTTCCTGCGACAAATGAAATTCTAAAACATTTTTTTTATGTATTGGAAAAATAAATAAAGGCGTTTGACGTATTTGTAGGTAAAAAATATTTCCTATTTAGTGTAAATGGGTCTTAAAATGACTAAAATGCAGCATTCTCTCCGAAGCAGTAACGTCTTATGTAAACAATGCACGCGCCATTCAGCCAATGATTGACGCCGCGTGCTGTGACAGCACGTGTTAAGGCAGTCATCTTTGACAGAGATATATCACTAGACTCGTAATTCTCTGTGAAACAGATTGCATCTTTCAGTGTATTATTTATGGATGGTTAAATGGTCATAGCTTATTAAGTACAACATGACCGTTTATTTAGTGACTATAAATGTTTGAAACTAATTTAAGGCTTAGTGTATATATAAATATTGGGGTGTAATTGTCGAGATATTTGGAGATATTTATTTATGGCGTGTCACCCTACCACTGTACTTACCTTTGAAAATGTATGGGCCCCCTTGATTTAGTTACACTTCATTACATCGAGTATATATAACTCCAGAAAAAACAATACAATGTTACTTGACAATCGGGACTATCTTGTTAAAACGTAAAGCACTCATAATCGGTACGGAAACGAATACGAAAACGAAAACGTCATCGATTCGTGTGTACTTGTGACGTCAATCCGTAATTAGTGTTCGGCCAGTGAAAAACGTTACACGTATGGAGCTGGATTTACGTAGGTATGCAAACGAATATGTGTCTTGTCTCATATATTGAATTTTCCACCATTTTTCGAGGCTTTGTCTACACTGTAACAAAAATTTCCGTGAAAAAACGTAAAAAATTCCGGAAACAAAAATTACCAGGAAAATTTTATCCGTATTTGTTTTTCCTGTAATTTACAGAAATTCCTTCAATTAACATAAATTCCATTTTCAAATACAGTAAAAAAAAATTCTGGTAAATTTTGTTTCCTGACCATGAAGGTGATAAAAATTTCATTGAATTAACCAGGTATGCAGACTCTGCCATAGAGACAAACCGACTTACACTGGCCAACCGGTTGTACTATCCGGATTTTAGCGTGCTTGATTACCAGATATTACAACCTTAACACCCGCAGCATTAAAACATACTTTTACATATTTATGAAAATACTTACAATCTGATTACCGTATGATGAATAACAATACACTTTATAGATCTTATAAATAATGGAAATTAGATATACATGTCAATTAATATACCAAACGTTACAAAATATGATTCTTCATATTATGGTTAATAAATTGAAATGAATACTATAACATGATGATTATTAGGAATGATTATACATGTATACTATTACTTATCGTTGCACCGTTTATCCCGTAAAACAACAGAATTAAGTCCATTACAGAACGGAATAAAACATTTTATCCCTAAATTTCACGGAACTTCCTTCTGATTCCACCGTTTATTCCGTAAAATAACAGAATTAAGTCCGTTATAGAAGGGAATAAAACATTTTATCCCTAAATTTCCTGTTTAATACTGAATATTCCACAGAAATACATAAAACACGTAATTTGAAGAAATAATTCAGACAATTAACACAATTTCTCCAAAAAATCCATCGATTAACAGAAAAAAGGTGTTAAATTACGGAATTCGGCCACATAAAAAATGGATATTTTTTACAGTGTATATTGTTCATTTTTTAGAGTTCGTAGAATGTGCTCAACAGCAATATTCTGTTTGATTTGTTGTACATCTGCCAATAAATCGATTGAAAAATTTGCCTTGATCGAGAAGTTCATGGAGTGGAAATTAACGCCATCTAGCTATTATCGTACGTCGGATTGCGAAACCGCGTGTAAGAGGATACGTAAACGAAAACGTAAACGAACATATGTTCGTTTTGGTGTTAGTTTTCGTACTGATGCGAAACGTCCCTAATGTCAATATATTCATTTTTCATTATCTAATTTTGCACTGTTATAGGGAGAACGGCCAGTTCTTAATCTGAATCGTACAATGTATCTTTAATTTATTTTATAATTATTACATTTCATAAAGTAATTATAGGAAGTGTTCATTTTTTGTAAAGTCCGTCAGATAGGGTTATTATTTTCAGGTAGATTCCAGACCCCCCACCCCACCCACCCCACCCCCTCGACCCCCGTACTACACACGTAAGCATTGAAGTGAAAATTTGCCAAATGTCAGTTCTAAAATTAAAGAATTTTTGTTCTGACGAAATGTTGAACGCCATTCCCGAAACCGCTATATAGGCCGCTAACCAGTAGCGTTGGGTTCAATCATGGCCGAGAAAGCTGCTTGGGATTTCTGGGCGTGGTTTCGCCATGTCAGAAGTTCACAACAGAGGGCTGGTAGGGGGCAGTGTCAGGTGAGACAAAAAACAGGGGTCCCGTGTACACAATGGTGTGAGCGTAAAATAACCCTCTGTAGTTGGAGTATGCCGTAGCGCCGCTGTCCTGGCAATTTTTCCCACCTTTATGGCACATGCCCGTCTGCATTAGCCCGGTTGCTGTGGAAAAGTAGGCAGAATAATAATTGAATATTGTATACTGTTATTTAGATGGGGCCCGCAGATCCCCCTCCCCCATCCTGGATCCGCCCTAAACGTACATGTAGGCCGTTAAATTCCATTTCATTTCAAACGACATTCCATTTTTTCTCATTGTCGTGTAAGTGGGTGTGGTTAAACGATTGATTGATTGCTAGTAATATGTTATTATGATGATTGACAACTACCTGGTTTGCGGTGCATAAGATAATAATTACAGGTGATTGGTGTGATGAACTGATTTCTCTAGGTTCTACTTATATATTTATTTACCTACACTGAACTAAACAAAATCTATTTAACAGTTAATAAAAGGACCAACCAGACTGGCGTATGTACTCTATGCATTGTGGCTTAATGGGCATTTGCTTATTGATTTATATGAAACAACCCATTTCATTGGTTGAATTAACCGGTATAAGTAATTAACCATTTATAATGGAAAGATTGCAGTATACTCAGATGTCGTTAGTAAATTGTATATATCTTTCTATTTGTGTACATAGGCGGACGCAAGTGACTGTTCAAATATTGTCAATTCTAACGAAACTTTATATAAAGAAGCGCGTATACTGAAAAGTGTATTCTCTTTTACACGACGCATGCCAGTTACTATAAAACAAGCATTGTTGTTGTTTGTCATATTGGTGTTGGATACACGTGGACTAATGAACATAATCTTACCAAACTTTACTGTTATCTGTCGGAAGTATTTAGATTATAATGAGTTATAAGGCATTCGTCAAATATGTAAGTAGGCCTATTTTTGTACACGTGCAGTTATTCTTGTGATTTTATGAATTTATTTTGGAAACACAAATACACATGGAATTGTGAAGTATTTGAATTTCTGTTGAATGTTTAGGCTAAGATTGGGGAGCCACGGTGGATCGGTGAGAAAGGCACCGGCTCATTAACCAGGAGTTTCGAGGTGGGATTCCGGTGTTGGCAGAAAAAGTTCCCCGGAATATTGTCAGTGGTGCAGGGACAGACCCTAATCATTCGGAGAGAACGAAAAAGAACCCTTGAGAGGGGTAAAATTTCCCTCATTGCACTTTGTATGATTCACTCATAATGCCGAGATTGGATACAAATCAGGACCGAATTAAGCCCTAAAGAAATGAAATGAAATGGGGTCTAACGTCCAGTGGTGCAGGGACAGCCCCTATAATAGTCCCTAAGAAGGAATTATATCTTCAAATTGACAGTGTGAAATTAAAAGTGAGGTTTGATAGGTCAAAACTTTCTAATTTGAAAAAAAGGTCCAAAGCCGAAGCAATTATACTAGCTGCTAAAAATCAAATTTTATTTTCCGTGAGACAAAACTGCCATACACGATTCTTTTTTTGTTGACAAAAGAACTTATAAATTTCAATGTCTGTAACAATTTATTGAGATCAATAAAACTCCTATGTTAACATTGCGTTGTAGTGAATCACCGACATCAATAACTGAATTATTCAGAATCACCGATGACACGTGACATGCATACATGCTCCTTGAGGAACGGGTGTAATACTAATAGGTGCACGAGAGAGTGGTTCAAGTTTACTGTTATATTTATATTGGTTGTCAAGGGAAGTTGCGCGCATTGGTGTGTGTGTTGAGGGGGGGGGGGGGTCTGTCGAGCGCATTGGAGATAACGAACAAAATGAAATGGTATGAAATGGGGTTTAACGTTTTATTGTTCTGATCCGACTAGTCTAATGAAGACAGGCATACGCCACGCAATATGCTATCCGGGAAATGTGCCCGGACAGCGGCACTACGACCTACTCTTCTATCGAATTCCAACTGCCAAGGGATCTTTTACACGAACGTCAATGTGTACGTTGCCAGATCCCCCGCCCTGCACCACCGACAAGAGGAAACCACGCCAACACCGGAAGCGAACCCGCGACCTCCAGGCTAGCGAGCCAACGTCTTACCCATTGAGCCACCGTGAATCCAATAACGAACGAATGATCAAAGGAAATAGTAAACGAAGACAGGCATAGGCCATACAGTGTGGTATATGAGGGGAAATTGTGCCCGAACAGCGCTACTCGTATATCGAATTCCAACTGCCAAGGGTTCTTTTACGTGCACGCCAAAGTCCATCCGAACGACTAACTATATACATTGTCCGTTGCCAAAACCTCTGTCCTGCATCACTGAAAAAGGGGGAACGTCGCCGGATAATTCCGATAATAAATAAATAAAAAAATAAATAAGAAATATAATATTTCTTGTGAAAAAAAATCCTTTTGCATGCCAACAAAATAAGGTGCCCGAAATCCCATTACTTTTTTGCCAATCTGCATTTTAGCTTACCACATTTTTCGGGCTTTAAATTGTCTAATCATGTAATGCTGGTGCCACTCTAAGAGTAGCCACTCTGCTTTATGGGCGCCAATTTTTTCGTGCCTCATTTATTTGCTTTATGGGGGGGGGGGGCGGTGGATGGCCGAATGGTTAGCACGTGCGTGCTGTATCATACGGCCTGTCATTGAGTCAACTGGCGTGGTTTCGAATCCCCGGTTGTACATGACAAGGAGTAGGGTCGCCTGTCCAATCTCGTGGGTTTTCTCCGGGACCTCCTATTTCCTCCCACTGCTAAAGACCCCTACGCGCAAGCGAATTATTGTAATAAAATTAAACCATATGTTAGTCCCGAAATGACCCATTTCTCTCTCTCTCTCTCTCTCTCTCTCTCTCTCTCTATTTGCTTTATCAGTTTTTCGGGATGTAAATTTCTGTGATTGAGCTCAGATGCGCTTTGGATTGAATTTAATTTGCAAAACCATATAATTATGGCTATGTTTGAGCACCTTCAGTTTGCTGTATTCACGGACTGAATTAGCACGCCCAACATATCCGCCGATTTGCGAATTCTGCCGGCGGGCATCGCCTGCCGTGATCCCGAGAAATCTAATCGGAAATTTTATAGGCTATTTCATTTGTACCACCTATCCCCCAAAAATGCCAACGCTAGATAAACTCGCTGCTTGGATTCAGTCGGATTACAAACCGGCCCATCAACTTGGTTCACGGCAGAAAAAGCTGGCAACTGTCTTGTTATATATAGGGTATCGGATAGATTTGCGGAATTGAATCATTTTTGGACTGGTATTCGTATTAAAGATTCAACTTTCACAATATAATAATTTGCAGAGGATTCATGTAGCGCAAGAATCACACTCAATTTTTAATTGAAATAAATGTGATGTAATTAATAGCCTAAATAAGCGAATTGCTTTAATTTTCCCAGGGGCGGATCCAGGAATTTTTGCTGGAGGGGGTTTGCCAGGTCCCTGAGACAACGTACCCCCCCCCCCCTCCCGCATGGTCTCTATCGTCATTTTGGCGTATATAAATACATATTGAGCTTTTTAAACAGAGAAATTCAACATGATGTCAATTTTTATTATGAATTAATACAATGACATTGTGATTCAATTTCATGGATGCAAAGCATCAATTGTGATATCACAAAATGTCTATATCATTATCCCGTGCTTTGAGTGCCCATCCTTTCCCACATCTGACGATAAGGGATAAAGCACACGGCCGAAAAACTATTCTAATAAAAAGTTTTGATTTCCCAAAAAAATTATGTAGCTGAGCAAGGGGGGGGGGGGGGGGGGTCGACCTCCCCCCCCCCCTTCTGGATCCGCCCCTGTTTCCATGGGGTGAAGAATCACATAAATTCTCCATTATCTATAATAAATAATGAAGCTTGGTTCTCAGACTGAGGGTAAGCAGACCAAACTTAGTGCCCTTTATAGAGAGGCGGCCCATATTAAAATGGATTTGACGTATATCTGAGCCATGACATCCCATACATTGACACTTGGTTGAGGGATTATGATTGTGACTAAGTCCTGAAAATGTAAACATGGACATAGTTAGTAACAATCAAGAACCAAACGACCTACAAGTAAAGAAAAATACGCATTTTGAATATGGAAATATTAATCCGACTGTGGAATCAAATCCACATTAGTGTAAATCCGCGGAAGCTTGGCTTAAAATGTCAGCATTAAAAACGGGCATATTCTGATCATTGGCCATCGCACTGCATTTGTGTGTCAATATGGTTGATAGCTTTATTTGGCACAAGATAATAAATCAAATCGTAAATTATTTTTTAGAACTATTTTTTTAGGGGGGGGGGGGGATCTTTTAACATTGCGGCTCTTGGTTGCAATCAGGGCCCTGTTTCTCGAAATTTTAACTAAAGATAAAATCCAATTTTAGTAGATACTTTTATTTTGATTGGCTAAGCACTAAAACCAATCTAATATTATCCAATCAAATTACTAAAATTTGGATTTTATCTCAGTTAAAAGTTCGTGAAACAGGCCCCTGGTCAGCAGCCCGCTTACTCCGTGCCTGGTGGAAATAGCTAAAAAAATCTCCCAATATATGAGCTTCCGTCGTTTTCTCCAGAAATTTGTGCCCAAATGTGCCAAAATCAGACACTTTTTGTTTAATCCAGGACATGTTGTTCTAATAATTAACAAGTACATTACCACTCACCTGCTGCCAGCGGCGGTCTGAGCCTCGATCCGCCAGACTTGAAAAACATAATTTGACATATTTTTTCTTTTCAAAATAACTAAAATAATGATATAGACATGTGTGATAAAACAATTAATGCTTTACATCAATGAAATTGAATCACAATATGATCCTATTAATTTATAATACCCCCCACTCCCCATCCCGTGATTGGAAATCTCACCTGATTCGATTCCAGTGTTGTCAACCATTCCCGGTTTCTTTCGTTTTTGTAAACACGGCCTACCCTGCTTATACCCGCCCCGAACGTCTCCGATGAAGCCTTTCATATAAACCCCTCTTACATAATATTCTTGTGAGTGAGTTATAAACTCGGTAATATTGTGACGTCATCTGATATAATATAAATATCTACATGTAGTTACCGGTATACAAATAAAATGAAATGGGTTTAATTTCCTACTGTTATGCTCCGAACTGGGCTAATGAAGGCGAGCATACGCCATATAGTGTGCTATGAGGGAAATTTTGTCCGGACAGCGGCACTACGGCCTACTCTTATGTCGAATTCCAACTGCCAAGGGGTCTTTTACGTGCACACCAGTGTGTACACGGGACCTCGGTTTTTCATATCAACCGAAGGACTAGACAGCTGTCCTTGTCAGACCCTCCGTCCTGCAGCACTGACAAGGGGGAAACCACGCCGGAAAATCTGATCTAGTTATACAGTTTTCATTGTTCGAAGTTGTCCCATGGTTACTCCAGAGTTGTAAGAGTTGTCGAATTGATGGACCCCCCCCCCCCCCTCTCTGCTGCCACATATGATAATATAGTAATTATTCACGTCATTTTATTACATATGAACTATTTAATGTGTTAGGAAATTTTCATAAATCTATACAATCTGTTGTATATAGGATTTTGATTTAATGATTTATAATAACTGTATATATAGGCAATTGATTAATATGAATAATGAATATAACATGTAATAAGTGATTCAATTTATCCCATTACTTAATGACTTCAATATGTTACAGAGGAATATTTTTTATTATACGCCCACATTTCCATATGGACGTATTATGCCGTCGCCGCTGTCCGTCCGTCCACAATTTGTTTGTGGACACTAACAGGTCTCAATTTTTATCTGATTTTGACGAAGCTTGAAATATACGTCTATCTCCCAAAGATCTGGATTCCTTTCGATATTGGCATGTATCGGACCATAACTTCGTGGATTATGG